TAACTCAATTATCTGTTATTTATTTTGGAATATAATGTGTGCTAAATATTCAAACTGATTTTTCTTCAAATATAAAACCATTTTTCTCAACAATATTTATTTGGTCTGTACTCATTGACTTGTGGTGTTTCCACTATAGCATTTAAATTCTAATATGTACTTGTCTGACTTAGGACTAACAATTCAGTGTTGTCTATTCGTCTCCTATGCTGTATTAATTATTGTTGCTTTCTAATTCCCCTCACATTTTTGTAATGATCATTTATCTATTTCTCTAGATTTAAAGATAAATTCTCAATAGCTTTGCTAAGTTCACCCTCTTCCCCCAAATCTCATTAGAATTTTCATTAGAATTTATGGAAAACATTAGTACTAGTCACCAAATAGTTTCTTTTGCTCCCTTTTCTTGAAGTGACAAGTGGCCAAGAATCTTGCTCTCTATGTTATGTGAGTAGAAGTCGCATGTGTCTCACTTTCTTGCCTTGCCACCGCTCTAGAGACTGTGGAAGCGTGAGTCAAAATACAGCCTCCATTCACCTGGGTTTCTGAGTGATGAAAAGGAGCAGAGCCTCCCCGTTGATCTGCATTGGACATACAGGAGGTTTTTTTGCCCTCCCCGCCCCCCAGCATAATGTAGCCTATCTACAAATACAGAATTATGTGAAGGATGCAAACTAATTTGGGAGATATAGGACTATCTGTGACATAACTGCTATAGGATTAATTACCATCAAACAAAGAAGAGCAGGAGTTAATTACTGTACTATTAAATTTATTCCAGTTGACTCTCTTGGCAAGTCCCATATCGATGCCCTTTGCCCACTCTATGCTCTTTCACCAAATTAGGCTTTAATTCCTTGTCCAAATAGGGTTCCCAAGGGTGGGGTATGGGCTATGGATCCTTTGATCTGTATTGGTCTCTGTCTTTTGCAGATTCCATGAGAAGACCTTCCATTTTAAGAGTTTAGCTCTTCTGCCTTTCCTCCTGACCTGCAACCCTCAGCCATTTGATATTTGTGCCACTAGAAAGAAGTCCCTGCAAAGATGCTGCTGAGAAAGACCCTTGGCTCACTCTTGACCTGAGGTCTTAGCTCCCTGTGGTTCTCTTGCAAGGCACTATAAGTCAAGGAAGCATCAATTCGTACATTTGAGGGCTGAACCTGACTATGCATGGAAAGAGCACAGAAAAGGGGTATTCTCCTGTCCAATTCTGATGACCAGTGCTATGCTTTATAAGTCACTTCGTTTTTCTTCTGAGTATACAGCTAGGCTGCATTTCCCAGCCTTTCCTGAAGTCAAGGCGGGTCATGGCAAGTGGGTGGAAGTGATGCATGACAGTTTCAGGCCTTGCCTCCAAGCCTTCTCTCAGTGCTCATTTCTAGTCACATCCAATGGAGGACTCTAAGCCACTAGGAAAGGGTGGAGCCACTGGATAGAAGGAGCCTGGATTTTTCTTGCTAACCCACTGGACTATGTCTTTGAGTGATAAATACACCGTGATTCTATTAACCTACTAATCTCTATAGTTATGTGTTATAGCAGCCTATTCTAATATAACAAGAAAAGTTCCAAACAAAATTATGTATTTTATATAGAGACTTTTTGTGAGGGGTGGGGTGGTTGTAGAGGGAAGCATAGTTTGCATTTATGCAATATTAATTGCAGACATGTATTCCATAATGATGGGGACACATTTTGAGAAATGTGTCATTTTTCATCGTGTGAACATCATAAAGTGCACTTTCATAAACTTAGATGGTATAGCCTACTACACTCCTAGGCTATATGGTATAGCCTATTGCTCCTAGGCTACAAACCTGTACAGCATGTTACTGTACTGAATACTGTAGGTAATTGTAGCACAATGGTAAGTATTTGTGTATCTAAACATATCTAAACATAGACAAGGTACAGTAAAAGTATGGTACAAAACTTACCATAAACGGAGCTTGCAGGACTGGAAGTTGTTCTGGGTGAGTCAGTGAATTAGTGGTGATCGAATGTGAAGGCCTAGGACATTACTGTACACTACAACAGACTTCAGAAACACTGTACATTTACGCTACACTATATTTATAAAAATTAGTTTTCTTTATTCAATAATAATCTAACTTTAGCTTACTGTAACTTTTTTACTTTATAGACACTTTAATTTTTTTTTAACTTTTTGATTCTTTTGTAATAACACTAAGCCTAAAACGTGAACATTGTACAGCTATACAAAAGTATTTTCTTTCTTTATATCCTTATTCTATAGGGTTTTTCTATTTTTAATTTTTATTTTTTTACTTTTTAAACTTTTTCCTTCAAAACTAAGACACAAACACACAGCATGGGGTGTGGCCTTCTGATTTCAAGATTATTCTTTTTTAAGCACCGAAGAAGGCAAGAAAAGCTTCATTTTTCTTTGCTGCACCCCTTTTAAGAAAGGATTTGTTCTATAAAATTTGGATCCAGTCAAAAGGCTACAGTCAAGGACCCAGAAGGCCACATGTGGCCCCAAGGCTGTGGGTTCCTCACCCCAATACGGTCTTCAGGGATAATAACACACATGCAGCTGTCATCTCCTATGCTAACAATGCCTTCTTCTGGAATACCTCCCGAAGGACCTGCCTGAGGCTGTTTTACAGTTAATTTTTTATAAGTAGAAGTAATACACTCTAAAATAAAGATTAAAAAAAGTAAACACATAAGCCAGTAACAGTTGTTTGTTGTCATTATCAAGTATTATGCACTGTACAATTGTGTGTGCTATACTTTTATAGAACTGGCAGTGCGGTAGGTTTGTTTACACCAGCATTGCCACTAACACTAGAGTAATGCATTGTGCTATGAAGTTACTAAAGCTATAATGTCACCAGATGATAGGAAATTTTTAGCTCCATTATAATCTTATAGGACTACTGTCATAAATGCAGTCCATTGTTGACCAAAATGTCATCATGTGGCACATGACTGTAGTATATGGTACCAAATTAGGTGAATATGAAAAAGTCATTTAGTCACATTTCATATTTTTTCAAAATAAAAAAGGAATTGACCAGGCTATGTTAGTATGATATAGTATTTAGTATGGCAGATAAAACATGAAAAATGTCAAGTAATTTTATTAATGACTCTGACAATATATTGGGTGTTTCTTCTTTATACTTACAATCTCAAATTTCTACCTTATATATATATTATCTTATCATATTATTGTCTGAGACTTTCCTAATAAGTTAAGAAACTATATTAAGTTACTTGAACACACTCACTTGTATTAAGTAGCAGCAATACTTTCATACAGAGGAACTCTTCTTGGCTCACTTGAAGCTTCACAAACTCCTGTGGGATCTGCCACATGGTAAGGCATAATGAATAGAATGACGATTCTTTCATCCGCTGTCTTGCACCACACACAACACACAAAAGAAAAAGCAATGGAAAAAAAAAAAAACAGCATCTCAGCCAGTTTATGTAATTTATCAGGGAATGTGATTTGGGTAATTACCTTACATATTACTGAATATGACTACTACTTTTAATAAACAAATTCAATATTTTGAATTTTGAACACCTTCTAAACTTTTACATAATACTGAATTTTTGAGGTTAGGAAATGTTAAATTTAGAAAATTATATTAAATACACATTGACATTGTTTCGCACTTTTATTATCACACTTGAAATACCTAAACCAAGAGAGGAGAGCAAAGTCGTAGGAGAATGTGGAACTGATGGCTGCTCAGAAATGCTTTATTTACTTATAATTTTTTTTCTGTGAAAACATATACATATAATTTAGTATGTAATTCAACGGGATAATTGATTCAGTTCACAAAAACTTAGTTTTCGAGGGGAAATATATGGTGATATAGAAAAAAGCAAAAGAGAACGCTAGCATAGCAAACATTAAATAACTGACAAGGTTCGACACAAATGCTGAAGGTTTAGAAAATTTATTTGAGGTATTTTCTCAACATGTGTTGTTTTATAATGTTCATATTAGTCAAATGAAGCTAACATGAATAGTGAAAACTAGATTTTGACTCAGAAGAGATAAGATTAATTCTGACTGTCATTTGAAGTATTTGGCAGGTTATAAAATTCTTCTGAGCCTCGGTTTCCTCAACGGTAAAATGAAGGATGCTGATTCCTTATCTATGTCAAAGAATATTCCATATTGTTGGGTAAAATGGAATTAAACACAAGAAAATTATCTATAAACTGTAAAGCCTTATATATGTGTAAATTATTAAGTTATATTCTTCTAAGTTAGCATTCATCATTAGAACATTGTAATTATTACCAGGAAAAGATTCTTACTCAGTTAAAGTTTATATGTAGAAAATTAATTACAGCTATTTAAATATAATAAAGCAAATTGAAATATCTATCTTTCAATTTTTAAAATAAATTACCAGTCTTATTTTTCCTGTAGGAAGAAAGATAATGTTTTTACTTCTTGAAGGTAAGTCAATGCTTTCAAGCAAAAATATTTCTCATTTATTTCATTATTGTCATTAGTACCAAGGTATGAAATTGAAATCTGATAAACTAAACATATTTTATCTTTCAATATATTTCTTGATACATTTTTGAAGCTTAAAAGAATTATATTTGAGACAACTACAATATATATTGAAACAAGATGAAAAAGTTCCAAATATCAAATTATTGATAAAATGATACAATTTTATTAATATTGTCATAGCAAGCTGTATCCTGAGTTGATTCTGACAAACCTTTCAGGAGAATTTTATTATTTAGGATACTAAGTATGTGACCATATATTGAAATATAAATTTCAAAATTATCCCACAGGTACACTTATGATAATAACAAGAAGAGCAAAAGTTACTACTTACTCATTTAGTATTAGATCAGGTGCGAAATATAACATCTGCCCGCTGACGTGTTTGTAGGATCTCCATCCCAGTCCGAACACCATTAAGCTCATCCAAGAATACTGGATGAGAGTTATCTGGTCATCAATATGTAAGTTTCGAAAACCTGCAAAACAAAGTAGAATAATCACAGAAATCACCTAATTATGTCAAAAATGTTGAAAATATAGAAATTTCAAAATAGATGTGAGTAGGGCAATATAATGTTTCTAATCTCAATGTATTTACACTAAAAATCAAGAAGTATTAATAAATAATACAGCCTGAAAAATGAAAAAAGGGTAGCAACTTTGGAAGTCATTTAAAATTAGTCACTGTGATTTGGCATTTCTGAGAATTTGCTAGTTGAATCCATCATCCACCACTCAGTCATGCAATGCCCATTTAATGAGAACCATTTGTGTGCAAAGCACTGCATTAAAATGCAGGGGTTCCAAAGATAAAGAAGTCTCCGTCCTAGCCTCAAAAGAAGCTCACAACTCAACAGGAGAGACAAGCACATGAGTGCTGTGATAGAGAAGATTAAAGGGAGTATACCAGGGAGTTGGGAGGCAAGTCAGGAAAAACTTTCTAAAAGAGAAAGATAATGCCCGAGCAGAATATAATCAGTTTATTTAATCTCAATTCTTTGGGATTTAAACATACACTGCTTTTATTTTGCTATACCACTGCTTTCAATTGTGCTATATCTAATTTTCCTTTAACAACCCTTAATTAGGGTTAGGTAGATTCCACAGTTTTCAGTTCACTTTTGTTCTTTAAAACTTAATCCAGTCTTGTTTTAAACTTCCATATGTCTTAGGAGGTTTGGAGTATATGTGTGTGTATATATGTGTGTGTGTGTGTGTGAGAATACTTTGGTCTTTTATCCTCTTTTAGGCTGTTCTCTGGTGTTGGTGGCAGATGGAAGATGGCAGGGAAAGGGCCAGTGAATCTTGACTTAATGGTCACAAGTCTTCTCTCCATCTCTTCCCAGTTCTTGGGGAAAGATCACCAGCTAGGCACTGAAGAACTTAAAAGAGGGAAAGGCAAAGATGTGTTTGAAGTCAGAACATGGGAGGTCTGGTATGTCTATTAAGGAGCAATGGGAGTGACATAGACTTGTTTGTGTTGTAGATGGATCTTTGGTAGTAGCTATGTGGAGAATGGATGCAAGAGAGTAAGTCTAGAGGTAGGTAGAACAATTGGGAGCTGCTGCCAAAGGCCAGGTGAAAGATGATAAAAGCCTGAAATAAGTCAACACAAACTGAGAGGAGGGAATGCATCAGAAAAATATTTAAAGGGTAAAATCAAAGAGATTTGTCAACTGTATATAGATGGGAATAAGAAGGAGTCAAATGCATCTTGCAGTATGTTTGCATGAATAGTAGATGGGGATAGATAACATCATTGCTGAGATAAAATAAGGGAGGAGAAACAGGTTTGGGAGAAAATACTAAGTTTTAGACATGTTTGAGGGGCCTCAGGAATATCCAGATAGCAGTTGGACATATGAATTAGCAGTGTGGGGAGATATCTGCGCTAGAAGTATATATTTGGAAGTTATTTGTATCTGAGTGGAAATAACGAAAGTGGATGAAATCTTTTTATTAGAGGTACAGAGAAAAACAGTGTTTTGGTGGGAACATCAATCATTTTCCATAAAGCTATTTTAAAAAACAACTGTTTTCACTAGAAATCCATTGAAGTCTACTTACAAATAATCTATTTCAAAAGTAAAACCAAAGCAAAACTTAATTCATTAGCTATCGAGGGCAACAGGAATTTATTTCCTGATGATATTAATCATCTCAAGGTAGGTAGCAGAAAAGAAAAAGACTATCTTCTGTCCGTACACTCCAGATAGTCCCATTTTCATCTGAATAGTAAAAACATTGTTATTCTTCTCTTAAAACTCCTTAACCTCACTGGGACCAAAAACAACTCTATTGTATATCCATAATTATGGATGCCATAGTGAACATTTACCTTTTTTTTTTTTT